CCAGAGGGAACTGCATTTACACCAGGGCTCTGCACACCCAGAGGGAAATGCATTTACCAGCAGAGTCCTGTCTTTTTCTCTGCAGGTGGCTCGTCAGCTCCAGCCCTCCGTGGTGTGGATTGAAGATACTGAAAAAACCTTCTACAAAAGAGTTCCCAGTGAAGAAAAGATGGTGAGGACTTCCTCATGCCTTATTTTGGCCTTTTCTTTCCTCCCAAGGAGGCCCTTTTCAGGGCCTTCCTCTACTTTTCAAGAAGGTCTTGCATTTTCCAGGGAGGAAGGAAAACTGGGGCTCTCTGTAGTGGTCTCTGTCTGCCCTGTCTGCATTTGAAAAGGTTCTGTCGTCTGACTTTATGAAACATAGTTTAGAAGGAAAGGGAAGAAAGTGTGGAAGAAAGGGGAGGGGGATTTTTCATCCAAATATATAATTCAGAGGTGAGAAACAGCTTAGAGAAGTCTGCTCAGTTAAAGCAAAGGGCACACACAGGAGTTATTATTAGGATTCCCTATTGTTCCTCATAATAAATAGCAAAAGGCCCAAAATTTATGAACAAAGACCCTCAACAGAACTTTTAAGAGCACTGCGTTCGGGGTCTCCAGGGAGTCCTGTTTCAATTGCTTCCTTCCTTCTTTTCTCTCCTTTCAATGGTCTCCCCGCCCCACCACTTCCCCCCACAGATCAACAGCAAATTTCCCACAAGTTAAAAAAAAAATGTGTAGATACATGTGATTGTTATTCCACATCAATTTGCACCAAAGCAAATAGTGGTTAACTATGAATTTCTGATTAAATTCATAAGGATTTTAATCACTTTTGATCCTTATGTATTATACATCACTCTTCGCAGGTAGAGATGATTTGGATAAAGAATGGAAGCTCAATCTTTTCTTCCCCAAATGAGCCTTGATTGCCCTGTCATTTCGGAAAGTCTTTAGTGAACTCGTTTATCATTTAATCCGGGAGTAGAGTAGTTAGCTCCCTCTGCTGGCGACGTTGCTACATTGAAGAAAAACTTGAGAAGGTCCGCAAGCAGGTGTGGAAAATGGGTGGCAGGAATGACCGGGCTCTCCACCAGGTCCCACGTCTAAGAGCAATGCAGGGCAGTGTTTCATCCCGGGTGTCACACACCTGGAGTTGTCAGAAATTTGGCTCATTCGTGTGCAGGGACTATACTCTCTCCCACCAGACTCCCACATGGGAAGTGGAAGACACTGGCCTGGAACTCAGACCACTCACAGCATTCACACAGCTGGCTGTGTGTCCTTGAACAAGGAACTTAACCTCTCTGGGCCTCCACTTCCTTTACTATTAAATGAAAGCATTTCAGCCCGGATGGCCTCCAGGTTCCTGAAGCCCCTGCATTCTCCACAGGGCCCTGGGCTTGCCATCAATGCCTAGTCGTGGAGAGGCAGGGGAGCACTAGGGAAGGAGCACTGAGAGGGGCCCTTCGAGAGAGAGCTGGAGGCAGGGAATGAAATGTGGGCCCCGTAGACACCCTCGCATAAAGGGAGTGGACATGAGGGACAGTGGGCCCACCGAGGAGGGAGCTGGAAGCTGTGAAAAAGCACCAGCCCTTCTGCTGCTGACACAGAACCTCTCAGCACTGTCCCTGATTCCTGCAAACCCTGCCCGTGGCTGGCTTTTTCCCTGCAGTAAACAAGGGCCATCGGAGACATGGTTTTCGTTATGGACAAACTGGATGTTTTCTCTGTTTGCTTCCCATTAGAGGAGTCAGTCATCTGCTGGGGAGGTCAGCTGCCCTGAGGACCAGGAGTCACACTGGGATAAGTCCCAGGGACTGCAAGCCACAGTGCACCCCTGGCTCCCTGAGCATCCAAAAGGCCAGCCAGGGGGCCTAGCCATCCCAGACACTGAGCTGCAAGAGGCACAAATACCACTGCACCCCAGCCCCAGTATTTCCACCCCAGCCCCAATGCCACAGCAGGAGGAGAGGGGCGGGAGAGGAAACCGTCGTGTGAGCATGCCCAGCTCTGCGCAGAACTTCAGCTCCACCCGGCCCGAGCCACGCAGTGATGGCGTTGCAGGGCCTGCCCCTCAGGGAGCAGGGCTGCAGAGTTCCTGCTGCCTTCCTGTGTCTCAGGGCCATGACTAGGCCAGTCCTGCTGTTCTTCCCAGCCTCCCAGCCTCTGTGTCTCACTCAAGATCCTCAGCCACCAGGGCCCCAGGTAGCCATAAGCACTGGACACCCACATTCTGAAGGTGACCAAAAGCCAAGGGCAGCAGGGGCACCCACAGGTGAGAAGAGCCCGAGAGGCATCGTCACCGGCTCCTTATTGCATCACTCGGCCACCTAGGGAGCCCAGGGTCCTTCCTCCGACCGGCTCCAGCCTCTGTCCCAAAGGCTGCCCTGATCCCAAGGGCACAAAGAACGTCCAGGAGGCTGATGCTCCACCAGTGACAGCCGCCATACAGGCATCAGGGCCAGCCCCGCCCTGGGCAGTGCCTGCTGGATTGAGGGACTCCAGGAAAACCCCTGAAAATCCACAGTGACTGAACACACCCCAGCACCTCTGCCCATGAGGTGAGACCTCCTCCCGCGGTAAGATGCAGGAAGCTCACGGGGGATAGAACACCGCGAAGGTCACAGAGGCCTCCCGAGCATGGAAACCAAACCTCCCAGGTGCAGGGACACAAGACCTCGACACCTAGGACCACTTCGGGCAGGAAAAGGAGGACCCCGGTGGCGGTGAGGGACATTGATTGAACACCTCCTCTCTCCCAAGCACAATACACATGTCAGGGAAACTCCCAGCAACCCTGAGAGGAAGGCATTGTTTGCTCCGTGACACAAAAGAGGACAAAGCCTCCCAGAACGCGCACAGCTGCTCGGGGTCATGCTGGGATTTGGCAACAAGGTTGTCGGAGTGCAGAGGCCAGGGCCTTCTCCCCGCCCCGCACAGCACAGGCTGGAAGACGTCGAGGGCAAACCGCCAGCTTTGCCTTCTGCCCGTGGGGTCAGCCGTCCTGGGGTACCTAAGCCACACCACCTCCCTGCAGCCCTCCCAGCTCGGGGCCACTCAACATCATCCGGAAAGCTGCCTTCAGGGCCCTCTTATGTTAGAACCGAACGGGCCCAACTCCGGAATTCTCTGTCCTCCTGTTCCCCTCACGCTGTTCTCAGCCACCTTTGAGAGAAGCCCTCTAGAATTTCTGGAAAGTTCAAACTCCAGGTACCCCCACCAACCCGTCACATTTGCAAACACACCCCTGCCCCCGGCAGACACCTGGACCAGGCTGCTCCCCCTTCTCCTCCTCCTGGAGGGAGAGCAGTGTCTGCTCTAGAGTCTGCGCCCAGAGTGCCCTCAGTCAGTTGTCTGTCTGAGGCGGAGGCGGTAAAGAATGAGGCGCAGTCTGCTCCTGCATTTTCTGCCCCATTCCCCTTTGTTACTTCATCTAGCGAGCGCCTCCCTGACATCACAGAAGGGCCTCCACCAAGGAATTGCTCACTTCCTTGGGGCTGGCTGCGACTGTTGTTTCGTGGAGCTGCCTGCAGAAGAGCAAATTGAAATGGCTGCGTGGATGCTAGCCACTAATTTGAAATTGCCCAAAGTAATACAGTTGTGAGGGGCTGGCAGGCCCTGAGGTCGGGCGGCAGTTTTGGAGGCTGCCAGGTGATGGTGGGTGGTTTGCTGGCGTGTTGGATGAGTGCACAGGTCTCGTACGTAATGGACAGCTCAGAACTGGAACAGAGAGCAGGGGAGCTACCAATTGAATGAGCACACCCCTTATTTCTGTCCCCTGGTCATGGGACTGCACCTCACTGTCAGCAAGGATGTCACTCTGGACATTGCCCAGAATCAACGTTTGTTATTCAAATAGGCTGATTCATTGCACATGTCCCTGCCATTTCAGGACACAAAGGTAGGTGTATCATCTCCTGCCTCAGAAAGGGCAGGAATCACACTGCCGTCACCATGGCAACTGGGTTGCTGAGGATGGGCTCAGACCATGCAGCAGGTATGTCTCTACCCCCATGGAGTCTCAGTCTCCAGCCTCGCCAGGACCCTCAGATCAGTCTTACTTCCGCTGTTCTTTGGGCAGCTCACATGTGCAGCCCGCATGCCCTACCACCTGCTTTGTTCTTTAAAGGCCAGTCTCTTCTCACGACCCTCCTCACCCATCAACCCACCACCATCAGCCTGCTGCCCTCACCACTGGGTAGAAATTGTTCGCACAAAGTTATTAGGGCCAGGCACAGTGGCTCACACTTGTAATCCCAGCACTTTGGCAGGCTGAGGCGGGCAGATCACTTGAGGTCAGAAGTTTGAGACTAGCCTAGCCAACATGGCGAAACCTTGTCTCTACTAAAAATGCAAAAATTAGCCAGGCGTGGTGATGCATGCCTGTAATCCCCACTACTCAGGAGGCACAAATCACTTGAACCTGGGAGGTGGTGACTGCAATGAGCTGAGACTGTGCCACTGCACTGCAGCCTGGATGACACAGTGAGACTGTCTCAAAAATAAAAGAAATTGTTCTCACAAAGTTCTTTGACATGAGAAGTGCAAGACTTTTCTGAAAACTACAAAAACATTGTTGAAAAACTTAAATGAAACCTAAATAAATGGAAAGACATTTTGTATTCATTGGTTGAAAGACCTAATCTTGTTAATATGGTAATAATTCCCAAGTTGGCCTGCATGTTCAATGCAATTCCCATGAAATCTCAGCTGGCTTATTTGCAGAAATTGGTAACTGATACTAAAATTCATCCAGAAATTCAAGAGATCCAGCCAAAACATTCTTCAAAAGAAAAAGTTGGGGACTCACATCTCCCAATTTTATTTCCCAACTTACCTCGAAGCTACAGCAATCAAGACAGTGTGGTACTGGCCTAAGAGGAGACAGATCAGTGGATCAGAATCAAGATTCCAGTAATAGAGCCTCACATGACAGTTCGTTTTGACAAAGGTGCCAAGACAATTCAATGCAGAAAGAATAATATTTTCAACAAATGATGCTTGGACTACTGGCTTGCTACCTGCAAAAGAAAGAGTTGGACCCCCTATCTCATGCCATATACAAAAATCAACCCATAATATATCATAGACCTAAAAACAAGGGCTAAAACCAAAACACTCTTAAAAGAAGATATAGGCATAAATTTTGTGATCTTAGATTAGGCAGCAGTTCCTTAGATATGACATCAAAAGCACAAGCCAGAAAAGCAAAATTGCACTTCATCAAAATCAAGAACTTTTCTGCTGCAAATGACACCATCAAGAAAGTGAAAAGACAACCCACAGAATGGGAGAAAATGTTTGCAAGCCATGTACTATTGAAAAACTTACATCTATTAATAGAACCTACAAAGAACCCTTACAACTCAATAATAAAAAGCAAATAACCCAACTTTTAAAGAGGGCCAAAGATCTGAATACACATTTTTTCCAAAGAAGGCACACAAATGACCAACAAGCACATGAAAAAATGCAGGAACATCATTAGCCAGCAGCCAAATGGGAGCAAAAATGGCCTCGACTGTGCTTGGGAAGTCTCTGCAGAGGCTCTCACCATCGCCCCTGGTGTGCTCCTCGTTCCCAGGCTCTTTCTCTGCTGTCTACACTGGGGGTGAGCTTCGTTTGCAGCCAGGCTGTTGCCCATGGCAACATGGCCAGATCTGACTCCCACAGGCTGGAAGTCATCCTCCCTGGGGTGCCGAACGGCCATCCCGTCCTCGCTCATTCCTCTCCCTCATTAGTGCTGAGATTATACTAAAATAAGTCAGCTTCAAACTATTTCCCAACTGTTTCAGAGAGATAAGTTTCACACCCTTATGTAACCAGGTATTTTTCAGACATGAGATGCAGGAGCTGGGCTCTTCATTGTTCCAGCAGTCGGCAAAGGAAGTCTTGTGTCCAGCTTCCAAACAGCTCAGGAAAATGGGAGCACCACAGCTCATTATAGGCCCCCGTGAGCTTCCTTCCATTTGGAAATCAGCCACCACTTCCCATTCCTAGGGTCAAGGTGCTTCCTTCCTTCCCACCCTCTAAATCCGGACACCAGAAGCTGAAGAAAGGAAACACTGACAATTCAAATCCAGTGGGTCATACTGAGAAGCACATTCCAAGACCCATCCCAGGACAAACCTTCAGAAATCGTGTTCGTCAGAGCTTTGCAATCACTTTAATAAACAATACTGCAACGTGTTCTAAGTAAATGTGCTTTCATTTTTTTCATTTTTTTTTTCTATATGTGGGCCAAATTTCTTTTCTCTCTCTCCCAGAATGAACCTAAACGCCTGAAAAAACACCTTCCCAAAATCCTGAAACTCCTGAAACCAGAAGACCGGATTCTGATTGTGGGGACCACACAGCGTCCCTTTGATGCCGAACTCCAATCTTTCTGCAAAGTTTACCAGAAAATTATTTTGGTGCCCAGACCAGACTATGCTTCCAGATACGGCAAGTACCCCAGCCCCTTCCCGTGTGCATGGCAGCTGAGGCTGAGCTGGCTGCCATGTGCCTGCCAGGGGGGCGGCTCTTGGACCCAGTGTGTGCCAGATGAGTAGAGCGGAGCCGGCACCCGGTGGGGCCTGCACACCTGCATCCAACACGGAGCACGTGCTGCAGATGTAAACCGCGGGGTCACGTTCTGTTCTTAGCATATTTCTCTCTACCCAAGACAAAAGGAAACTGGACGAGGATTATGATTTCTGGCCCTGACAGTGACAAAAGCCCTGTGGGTGCTGATTTTTCTTGGGACAGGTAGATGAGGATCATTCACCTTGCACCCATGGTGATGGTGTCTTCCTCATAGAGCGTAGTTTATTTTCACCAGCTTAGGTTTTTTTTTTCTTTCTTCCAATCTCAAAGTCCAGTCCCATGATGACTTACTTAAAATGAACATTAAAATACAAGAGCTTACTTTTCAATTCTTTCTTCTTAAATAGACAGATTCAAAGTCTACTTCTTTTGAAACATGTTTTTTAATGGGAGTGACACAAAAAAGCGTCCCTGGGAGGCAAAGCAGTGGGAAGAGCCTGGGGTTGGGGCTCTCAGGCCACCTGGCTCAGAATCCCAGCTCTGCCACTGCATGGCTGGGTGACCCTGACAAGTCGGTCACCTTCTGAGCCTCCATGTTCTCATCTGTGAAGTAGGAGGACGGTTCACGCCACCAGGCTGCTGTGACACTCATGAGGTGTTAGCAGAGCACTGGCCCTATGTAGCCCCCAGAGAGAAAGGGGTTGGTGGCAGTGGTGGTGGAGGTGGAGGAAGAGAAGAGGTTCGTCTGGGCTGGGCGGGAGGAGGGAAGGACAGGCGGCGAATGGCAAGGGAAGCTGAGGAGAGGGCTGGTGGCCATTCTGTTATCTGCTGCTGTGTGAAAACCTCCCCGAAGGCTCAAACAGCACATCATTCCACCGTGTGCTTCTAAGGGCTGCCTGGGCAGAGCTGGGGCATTCCCCTTAATGCACCTCATGATGTGTGAGTCAGACTGGACGGTGTGACACAGCCTCACAAGCCACACAGAGTGACTATCACCAACCCTCTGCTGGTTAAGAGGAAGGTACAGGGCCAGCCCAGATTCGAGGGTGGCCAAAGACACACCAGTGTGAATGCAGGGGGTGGCTCGTGGCGGGGCTGCCGTAACCCGGCACTGGCGGGAATGGTGAGGGCTTGGAGGTGAGATGGCGATGGCGCTGCCAGTGTTAGAGATGGCGGAGGAGGTTGGCGGGGTGAGGGGTGACGGCATGTGCTAATGGAGATGGAGGTGCTTGCTGGCAGTAGGGGCGGGGGCAGTGTGGGGTGACGCTGAGGAGGTGGGCTGTGTTGGTGGTGGTGTGGGTGGCTCTGGGGAGGGTGGTGGGAATGGTGGCACTGGTCACGTGACATTGGAGATGACAGTCAGTGGCAGGAATAGCAGAGGTGCTGGTGGCAGCGGTGGTGGCCATGGTGGCAGTGGTGGTGGCAGTGGTGGTGGCCGTGGTGGCAGCGGGGGTGGCCGTGGTGGCAGCGGGGGTGGCCGTGGTGGCAGTGGTGGTGGTGGTCAGCATGGATGGTAGTGATACAGTGGTTACATCAGACCTGGTTTCTGTTCTTCCTTCTCCAATCACATGGGCAGTGACAAAGCAGAGGGCGTGTATGGTCCTCTCTGACTGTTCGTAAGTTGCTGCTCAATTTCTTTTTCTAAAAGAACAACCCTGTCCTCCCCACATGCTGTAAACGGCTAGCTTACTGGCCACTCTGCTTGCATCATGTGCCTATTTCTGTCTCAATAATTGGCGATCCTGGCTTTATAAATCAATGTTATACATAAAATACAGGAAGACTTCAGGCCCAGCTATTTCTGCATCCATCTCCTTCCTTCTTCATCTTTTAGGGCCTCAAAATGCCCCCCATGAGTCCTTTGCACCCAGCCAGCATCAAAAGAAGCAAGGGAAGACAGGATGGAGCAGTCACAGGAGATCTTACGGACTAGACCCAGGAGTGGCCAGCGTTTCCTCCAGCCAGGGCACGTTGGCCAGAATGGGAAACATGAATGAAAGGCAGAGCTGCCCAGCCGAGAAAGGAGATGGCATGAGAGTGGCGGGCACTGCAGTCTGGCCACAGCCCACACAGCCGATGCCGGGGTTCCACGCCCCTGGCCTTAGCAGGGCCACCCCCTCTCCTCTCAGGCGCTCTTCTTTTTTCTTCCTTTTTTGTATTGTATCTATATTTTGAGCTATGTTGTTGGAATAAGGTAGGGTATTATTAATTCGAAGGGGCTGGAGCATTCTTCTGGATTCTGAACTGAATCGTTTCTATTGTTTGACAAAACTCTAGGCCCTTTAAAAATGAAGCTATTGATGTATGGCTGGCAATTTTGTTCTTTTGATAAAACACCACGCATCCCATAGGATTCAGATCACATTGCAGATTCCTACCTGGATCTCCTTACAGGATCGTGATAGGAGAGGAATCGTGATGGGAGAGGAGTGTCCCTCCACCTGCGGGCACGTGATGAAGCCACACCAGACACTTCTCTGGGGCCCCGGGTTCTGTCCATTGAAGCACATGCTCCTCAATACTTCCGTCTTGGGGAGGGATGTGTTCAGGCTGCCATTCTGGCTGACGTCATCGACCCCCATCCAGCATTTCCTCCAGTGACCTTGAAGTTTTCAAAGCCACAGTGGCTGGGGCATCCGTCTTAGAGAGAGACTGTTCTGGTCTCTGCAGTGATCAAAAGTGTTCTCTTCCAGTCCATGAAGCAAGGGCCACCAATCCAGCATGTGGACAGCGCCTTGGCCGTCTCTCCACCCGCAATGGAGCGCTAAGGTGTGCAGCAGCCCTGGCGGCCCCACTCCTCAAATTCCTCCAGGCTGCGTGGGGACCGACAGTGCTGAGAAGTGAGGGGTGAATCTGTGGGTCTGCAGCCTCAGGTTCACCAAACATCATTCAATCTCTCCTTCTTTGCCCCCAAACAAAGCTGTCTCTGCACAGAAAATCCACCCCCCAGGCTGATGGATGCCCTGTCTGGTCCCCAGAAATCCCTTTGGGCTTCCTCTCCTCCACAGTCCCAGTGCCCTCCTCCTCTTGCCTCTCTCCCTGGGCTCCATTTCACTAATAACCCAATTCATCATAGGCCCACCCCGACCCAGTGTCTGCTCGGATGGTTCCAGGGTCTGTCTTCTGACTTTTCTGCAATTCCAGGTTTCCAAGGGTCAAAAGCTCACCCACATCACTTTATTCCCCTCTCAGGCTTTTGTAAAACCCCAAATAAAAATGAATTTTCTGAGACTGACCACCAGCCAAGACAGAATCAATCCACTGGGAATGTCGACAGCAGATGAAGGGGAGCCAAAGGCCAGATTCTCTTTCATCTGAAGAACAGAAAGAGAACATAGATTGGTCTGAAGATGTGAGGAGCTTTTTGCATCCAAGAGAAGAAAGTAAGATTCAGCACTTGGCCTGAAGAGCTCCTCTACTGCCTCCAGCACTCTGGGGTCCCTAGCCTTGGTCCTCACCAACACAGGCATCCCCACACCCCAAGACTGTGGTGCATCTGTGCTCCCCACTGCACTCCCGGACCAGAGGCCCCACAGCCTCTAGGCCCCCATGCTCACTGCCAGCTCCTCGCTCCACCCAGCTCACCATGCTGTGCCTCCCTCCATACCTGACACCCACCGTGGGCCTCAGAGCAGCTACTTAAGGGTCAAGAACCCAGGAGTGGGTGGTTGCATAAGAGCAATAGAAGCGATTCTTGGAAAGACCAACAGCTCGAGTTCACCAGCTGCAGGAATGAAGCCAAGCCTGGCTCTGCATCCCCTTCTCTGGGTCTTCAGACAAGCGGGCAGGTGGGCAGGTGCCACCACAGCTGGGACTGCCTCACAGAGCTCTCTTGCTGCAACTGTGATAAAAATGGTGATCTATGGAGCGTAACCAATGACTGATGTATTTAGATGAATCTTGACGGAAACTGTCCACGACTATCAAGTATCCTACACTTGAAATGGTCAGTAGCAGGTTTACATGTCCCTCTGGCCCTTGTTGGTCTCACTGTAGGTCTCCAAAGCCTTGATGCCTGATCGTCCACAGCTCGGAGACACTGGCCGGCCCCACAGGACAGCTCACCCGTTCCCAGTACAGCAACTGTACTCCATTACTAATGAGTCTTTAGCCATCAAGCGATTACTCCTGCAAGAACACTGGATGGTTTGGGCAGGAAACTTCGAAGATTGTGACCGTTGTGGCTGCACAGAGAAGCCAGGGAGACAATTAGTTATTTGTTGCCAGGGAGCACATGGCCCTCACCTCTTCCCACTGATGGTTCCCTTTTGCTGCATGGGTAGGAATTTTGCTCATGCATGCCCAGAACAGCCTGCACGCCTGCAGCCCAGCCTGGGATGTCAACTTCAGCTTTTGGGGCCTTACCTGTAACCCTCCCAGAAATCACATTCCGGTCTCAGCTTCCAGAGTCGCCACTCAGACCCGCTGGTACTTTGTTTAGATGTTATAAATTCAGACAGAAGACACACCGGATCTCAAGTGATGATGTGGTCTAGTTGCTGTTGGTCATTTTTACCACGGGTTATGTTTTCTATCTCTAACTCTGCAGCAGTTATGTTTAGGTAAGGATAATCTTCACCTGCTGCCATCTGTCACTACACAAACAGGCTTTGAACCAATCCATAGCCCATTTTGTGTTGTCTTTTGTAATTGATGCTTTAATGAGGGTTAGGAAACTTCGATGCAAGATGGAATGGAAAACAATCATTGTAATCGTAATAACAACAGTGACATAGCTACAGAAAGTAAAGTCCCCACCAAATACCAGGCTGCCGCACTTCCGAGTGCTTATAAACACCGCTGGGCTTGTTTCTCACAGCAGCGCTGAGAAGTCAATGCTTCTACGCCTGTTTCACAGGTAAGACGAATCAGGGGCTCAAGCTCAAAGAAATCCACCAAGGAAGGAGCATAGTAGATTAGGGATTCGATGACACTTTAGGCCAATTTGGGGTCCCTGTGGCTCTCATTGGTTTCACTGCAGGTCTCCAAACCCTGGATGCGTAAGCATCCATAGCTCAGAGAAATTGGCAGGCCCCAAGGTACAGTTCGCCCTTTCTGAGCAGCTCAGCTCACCCACACGGCCAAGGACCCCTCCACCGCCCCTTTCCAAGTGAACTGCTAGAATAGCTCCTGGTCCAAAAGCCAGATTCTCCAGCATGGTTCATAGTTACATTATAGGCCATTTTATTCCTTTACAGTGAGTACATTTTTTCGATTTTATCAGCCATTTTGGATCAACATGCTTGTATGATGTAGTCATTTAACAGACCCAGAACTAACCCCTTACCAGGCCTGACAATGCTCAGATCAGGTAGTCATGGTCATTTTTTAAACACAGTTTCAAATACCCCTCAAGTAAGGTCAAAACCATTTAGAGACATTTGACCAGATTTTCCCCATGCTGAGACTGACAGATGCTCCCGTGAACGCCCTTCACCTTCTCCGCCGTCTGGATAGAATTAAATAAGTTACAGCATGTCTCATTTACTTCCCTTGTGCTCCCTTTACAGAACAGAGGTAGTTCTCCAAGTGCAGAATGATTTTAAGTACTATGCAGGAGTTCATTCCGTCTCTAAAGCTAAGCAGCAAGAATTATTTCATAATTCATTTTCACAACATCCCTGTGTTCAGAATGAAATCTCTCATTTACTCCATGTCCCACAAACCAGAGAACAGCCAGGCACTCATCTGAAGGACTCTAGTCAGCCAGTGCATGTTTGCAGTCACTGAGGGGGAAAGCATAAAGGGTCAAATTGCTTTATTCAATACAATGTGTAATCCAGAGTCTTACACTGAAAGAGAACTGACCCTGGCAGTAGCTGATGAAAACTGGAATCTGCATTCTGATTCCAGATGTAAAAGCAATGTAAGAAATTAACCTTATAACTAAAGATATGTTAAACTACTTATCCAAATTACTTGGGAAATACAATATTCTGATGAGAAGAGGTGCCATTATACACCCTATGTACATTTCCAATGTTGAAAGATTGTCAACGTCCTTACAGGTACCACATTAAGACGATGCTGACAGTGGTTTTATTTTTTTCCTTGTTAATTTGCAGGGGACTTGTGGATCTGTAGACTTCAGGGTCATTGATATGTATGGCTTATGGTTGAAAATTCTCAAGAGGAAAGCATTTAGTTATTTGGCTTCGGTTCATTTGAGTTACAAATAAGTTAGATTAGACGTCTGTGTATTCCTTTCTTGATGAGATACAACTTTCATCTGAGGGGGAGACTGGCACTGCTTTCTCAGTGGTAACCCTTGTTCTCTGTGTCTTTTCTGCCATCCTGGATACAACAGTTCTGTGGAAACAAATCATTGAATGCAATGGAGGAGTCCTCACCAGTGCCTTGAATGTCAGCTGCCTGGCAAAAGTCACTGACGGCTTCACTCAAGGACATATAGTCCAAGCAGTGAAAGCCGTGCTCACAGATCAGAGAGTCCGGCGGCAAACTTACAAACCACTCACCACAGTCGAGTTTATTATGGCCATAACCAGCATGAACCCGGTGTACAAAGAGGAAGAAGAGAGCTTTAAGGTAAATGGAACACCTGACGGCCAAATCTTAGCAGCAAACACTCCTCACACTGCCTTCTCCCTCTGGAGTTTCATGGGTTTCATGAATTGGAACTCAGCCATATACAATGAAATTTGGAAACCTGAAATTTTGGATAACAAAATCTTTGGGGTTTTAGCAGTAAAGCGTGTCTTCCAAATTTTAGGAAAATTATGATGTGGCCTTATATCTATTGCAGAACTGAGTAGCAGCTTCAAAAACACTGGATTCACATAGACACATATACCTATTTTGGTTTATACTTCATATTTGGTATTATGGAATAAGTTTTGCATTGAGAAATCATTCCCTAAATAGTATAGTTCGAGACAATGCTGTTTTGGGCCCATAATTGTCATGGAGCACTTTGTTTTTCAGTTTTCAGTTCATTTGTAATAGGAAGCCACAAGATGACTCATCATAAGTTAGTTTTCCAATGTTTGAATACGTTCCGACCTATTCACAGAACTTTTTGGATCTGACGGAAACTTTTGAGAATTATCTTTTCCAACTCCCTCCCTTATAGGAGGAGTGTCCAGTCCAGCAAGCACGCCTCAAACTACCTGCTCTCCTTTAAGCCAAAATAAATACAGTGGTGTTGTCTTTCTGAAGGAAGTTTCCTTGGCCAACTCCAAAGGCAAGAGAAGATGTGCATGCAATAGAAGGCCACTGCAATAATGGCTGTGCAGCCACCAGAAGGAGCATTGAAATTCTCATCCAAGCCTATCTCTGGGAGCCTGCTTAACATCAGGAAAATTTCCCTCTGAAACATATCACTTTTTCATCAAATCTAAAACTATGATTCCTTCCTGGTTTGCCCCTGATTCTTCAGTGAAGCGTTAGAAAGGTAAAAAATAGTCATAATAATGATTCCAGCAATAATGGTCTAGCAAAGGAGTTAGCAACCTTCCTCCATAAAGGTGCAGATAGTAAATATTTTAGGCTTTGAGAGCCATGCAGTCTCTATCACAACTATTCAACTGTGTATCATAGTACAAAAGCACCCACACACAATACAGAAATGAAAGCCTTTGGCTGGGTTCCAATAAAACTTTATTTGCAAGCACAGACAACAGGCCAAATTTGGCCCATTGGCCATATTTTGCTGACCCCTGCTCTAGCAAAACTGAAAAAAACAAATTAACTCTAGCTGAGTGTTTACCAAGCATTCGAATTATTAATAATATTCTTGTTAACTGTTTAAACCTGTTCATCATGACTGCTGATATTCTCTTCAAAGGATGCATCATATTCTTTTCTGAAATTCCCCATTTTTCCCATTTCTAAAATATTAATTTTCCTCCTTATTTTGAGGAGTTAGATAATAGGTTGTGGAAGCCTATCCTTTATCATAGCTGAACCTTTAACTTTCCAAAGTGATCTCTAGAAGTTTTTCTATCTATAGGTACTTGAGGTCTGATCATCCTATCCAAGAAAATGAATGACTACCCTTTTGTGACCTGGGATGAGAACACATAAGCTTCACATATCCATTCTTGGCGTATTTGTTTGCTCTGTTCATTTTCCAAGGAAACTGCGTCATTTTCCCAACATTACCCTTTCCACCCAATCCTTTTGGGATTCCATCACAGCGCCAGTGCCTGGCCCCAAGTCAGTGTTTAACAAATTCATTTAGGGGCACATTCATTAAACACCTGGATAGATGGAATGACACCCTCCCACTCTCCTGAATAATGTAGTACCATTGCTATGGTTCCTTCTAATGAGACAAACCCTGAAAAGTTTTACCTCATTGTGCTTCAGACAACGTTATCTCAGATGAAGACCTTGCAGACTCCGTACATATTCTCCCCTGCTCCACAGACATATGGAGAAAAGATGTTGGATAATGATGGTAATAAGTCGAATAATGTTAGCTAATACTTACTGATTGCTTATTATGTGCCAGCCACTGTACTGACTCATTTAGACCTCAGAACCCCCTGTTTTTCACATGAGGACACTGAGATACAGAGAAGCGTGGTGGGCCAGATAATGACCCCCCAGGGACGTGTGCATCCTCATCCCTGGAACCTGAAGATACGTGAGGTTACAAGGCAGAGGGGTATTAAGGCTGCCGATGGACTAAGCTTGCTAGACAACGGACCTGAAGATAGATTATCCTGGATTATCCTGGTGAGTCCAGTGTAATCATGAAAAGGAGAAGAGGGAGTTGGAAGAGAGAACCAGAGACAGCAGTCTGAGAAGGACATGTTGGCACTCCAGGTAGCGCAGCCTTGCGACCCAAAGGTGGAGCAGGGGCCACAGGCCAGAAAAGCAGATGATCTCTGAGAGCTGCAAAAGGCAAGGGAAAGATTCTCAGCTGGAGCCTCCAGGAAGAGACACAGCCCTGCAGACACCTACCTTGATTGTCTCCCAGTGAGGCCCATTTCAGGCCTCTGACCTACAGCCCTGTGAAATCATAAATCTGTGATTGTAAGCCACCATGTTCCTGGGAATTTGCCACAGTAGCAGTAAAATAAACAAAACAAGAGGCAAGCAACAACCATAACATAACAGAGCTGAAATTTACACCTTCCTCCAAAGCCAACTTAACTACATTCTCTACTGGGTCTCAATAAATGAGGAGTTCATCACCTTAAGTACATGGCCACCAAACCTTACGTTAAAAACAGAGCCAAAGCTAAAAGAAGGAAGAGGGAATCCCCCAGTGCCAGGAACAGAGAGGTACATCTCAAAGACAGGAACAGCCATATAAGCTAATGCCTGGGTGGCCTAGGGGAGTATAAGAACCAAACAAACAGGCAAGGCTAGGCCCGGGAGAGACAGGATGCTGGAACTTCACAAGGTTGGGACAATATGTAGGTTGCCATGGGGAAGCATCATGGAACTTGTGATCTTCTCAGGGATCTAGGTGGGGAGTAAAAGTGGCCCATAAAAATCAAACTCCAAGCCTACACCATGCACGTCAAGTTTCCAAATTTGGACTCCCTCCATGGTCCCAGATTCTCAAGTTAAAATATTAATATATTTCAAAAAATGACACGGTATCATTAAAACCCCTAAAGTCACATCAAAAGTAAAATTAAAAACAACTCTGTATGGAAATTTAGCCAAGTCAGGGTACATAGGACTTCTACAGGGAATACTGCCCTTGCTAAAGATGAGTTTGTAATAAAAAAAAATTATGAGCCACGAGCAATAATCTACCCCAAGGAGAGTCAGCAAATGCAAATAACAGAATAGTACTACCGAGAACTTGAGATAAAAGAACATTCTGAAAGAGACTACAAAATGAGTATGTTTAAATTAAAGACCAGAAACATTAGGGAGGAAAAACAGGCAAATTTGAAAAAGAACCAAATAGAACTTTTGAGAGTGAAAAAAATATATCGTCATTAAAATTAAAACCTAAGTGAATAAATCATCTGTGGATTCAACAAAACTAAAGAGAAAACAAAAGAAAAAGGGAGCAAAGAAAATTGCCTAGAATGCAGCATAGAGAAAAATAGAGGATAGAAAACAGAGAGTTTAGGAGTTCACTGAATGCAGTGGCTCATGCCTGGAATCCCAGCACTTTTGGCAGGCAGACCTCTTGAGGTCAGGAGTTCAAGACCAGCCTGGCCAACATGGCAAAACCCAGTCTCTACTAAAAATACAAAAATTAGCCAGGCATGTTGGTGCACACATGTAGTCCCAGCTAGTTGGCAGGCTGAGGCAGAAGAATCCTTGAAACCGGGAGACAGAAGTTGCAGTGAGCCAGGATTGTGCCACTGCACTCCAGCTTCAGTGACAGAAAAAGACTCTGTCTCAAAAACAAAAAGAAAGGGCTGTGAAAGATAAAATGATAAAACCTGCTTCTTTTATGACTGGATCTTTGATATCCCTAATACCACCAGGAAGCATTAAGGGATGCATCAATCAAAACATCCTTATAAGACCTAGTTCTGTATTTAAGTTCAGAGGCTCTGAACTGCTAAGGAGGAAAGAATAAGGAGAGATACAGAGAACAAAGCAAAATTTCCCCCTCAAAATGAATCTGGGGCAGGCACGGTGGCTCACAGCTGTAATCCCAGCACTTTGGGAGGCCAAGGCACACGGATCACTTGAGGTCAGGAGTTCAAGACCAGCCTGGTCAACATGGCAAAACCCTGTCTCTACTAAAAATACAAAAATTAGCCAGGTGTGGTGGTGTGCATGCCTGTAGTCCCAGCTACTCGGGAGGCTGAGGCAGGAGGTGGAGGTGTAGTGAGCCAAGATCACACCACTGCCCTCTAGCTTGGGTGACAGAGCCAGACTCAATCTCAAACACATACACACACACACACAATGAATCTGAAAATCAAAATTCCAAAACATTTTAGGAAATGTGCTAAATACAATCTGTAAATTAATATAATTAAGATGTTCAAATAATAAATGAGAGCATGACTTCCATTAGAAATGTACAGAACATTTTGAGAAAAAAGAAATGAAATAAGAAGAGATAATTATGAAAAAAGATCTTACAAAAAGAAATATTAGAGAGTCAGAAGCTGAGGTCTGAATTGCAAAGAAAAAGAAAGAAAGCTTAGAAATTAAAAATATAGTAATCAGTATAAAATGGCAAAGAAAATGAAAAAGCTATGAACTCTAAACTAAACATGGTCAAACAGCAATCTGTGGACTGGAAGACTGTTCTGGGGAGTACCCCCCATAGTTGGCACAGAAAAACAAGAAGGTAAAATTCATAAAAGTATAAAGCACCATCAAAGATGAGTTGAAGAGGCTGACCTTCAGTAATCGAAGTTCTAGAAGAAAAGAATACAATAAGTATCAGAAGACCAATAATTTAAAGACATTATTACTGAGAATTTTCCTGAATTAAAGATAGATTAAAAATAAACTCCAAGTGAAATAATTTATTAACTAATAAACTCCTAGTAACCAGCAGAACAAATAAAATAAATCTATACCTAGATATATTGTTGGAAACTTAAGAACAAGATTAAAAGCCAGTCTTAAAAGGTACCAGATTACCTACAAAGAAACAATTGGGAAATCAGATATCTCTTTAACAACCATAGATGCCAGAAGACAGAAAAATAGTATCTGCAAAGTACTAAGGAAAAACAACTGTCTGTCTAATATTTATATCCAGCTAAACTAGCATACAAGAGACAGGAGAAAATAGACATTTTAAGATATATGAAGCTGGGCACCACGGCTCACACCTGTAATCTCTGCACTTTGGGAGGCCGAGGTGGGTAGCTCACTTGAAGTCAGGAGTTCAAGACCAGCCTGGCCAACATGGTGAAACCCTATCTCTACTAAAAATACAAAAATAGCCGGGTGTAGTGGCAGGCACCTGTATTCCCAGCTACTCAGGAGGCTGAGGCAGGGGAATTTCCTGAATCCAGGAGGCAGAGGTTACAGTGAGCTGAGATCACGCCACTGCACTCCAGCCTAGGTGACAGAGAAAGACTCAGTCTCAAAAAAAAAAAAGCATACAAAGACTGAGATAGTTCCAACTTACAGCACTTCAGAGAGCAATTTAGCAATATCAAGTAAAATTGAAGATGTTCATACCCTACAACCCTAGCAGTTCTGTTTCTACATATGTGACCTAAAGAATTTCTCTCACATAGATACAAGGAGATGTGTAAAAATTGTGAACTTCAGCGTTTTCATAATAACCAAAAATTCAGATGTCATATATCTATTAACAAGATAATTGATAAATAACATGTAATGTAATCTTACAATGAAATATGACTATTATAAAGTTTGTAAACCCAAATGTTTCTTGGGTTTCAAATAAAATGCAAAGGTTGAGAAAAATCCCATCATGGGGCCAGTTACAATTACTAAGTTCTTGGTTGGTATTTGGGCTCCATTATTTCCACCGTGTTTTCAACAGCACCTTCCCCAACATAGTGGAATGACCACCTGTTCTTCATTGAACATGGCCCCATGTGACCCATGAGCACCCTTCACACTACCAAGGAAACCCAACCCCAGGACACAGTAGGATGCCCGGAAAAAACAGGTGACTTTGTTGGGAAGGATTGCTGGTTAGATTTAGCCTGTGATTCTCTGAAATTTTTAACTCCCTGAGTTAACAAATCATGCAGAAATACAGGTTGAAGTTTCAAATCATGCAGAAATAATCTGGAAAACCCACTGAGCAAGGGTTTGTATTAAGCTTACCTTAAATGCCCAAAGTACAGTGGCTCCTTGCCCCTTCCTGCTTAGCAGGCTTTTCTTTATTTTTAAGAGTATTGCCATGAATTCATGTCATTCTGACCTTTTCTTAAACTTCTACTGTATTTCAGAACTGGTATGCCAAAACCCCTCTGGGTAAAAAACGAGCCTTGGCGATAACAGGAGGTAGCACAGAAAAGGCAAAGAACAGCGGGAAAAAGAAAGAAAAGAAAGAGAAAAAAGAAAAAAAGAAAAAGTAATGCCTTTCTGAAGAACCATGCTTGAGCCTCTCCCTGGGATAGAGAGGACCACAACTGGCCAAAGAAATGATTCACCATTAAGTGTGCAGCGGTGCGCTGATGCCTCAAGCCCGCTAACCACTGTGCGTGCTGTTACACCTTTCCCAGGCTGGACACCTAGCTGGGTGTCCATCACAACTTTCCACAGCTTTAATCTACAGAAAGTTTGTATGTAACCGAAATTCACTCTTGACACCCTCCACAATCTTTCCAAGTTGGACTCTTCATTTCATCAGTACTAGTTGTCAAATTTAAAATGTGGCTGAAATATGAAGAATATCCTAGTTTGACAACTAGTAAGCAATGAGTATATCATCTGCCCACGAGCTTTTTATTAACCCATGTACACTGTGTAGTATCTTGCATCTATTTTAATAAATTAATTCTTTGCTCTAGTAATAGATTTTGTATAATGAAATAAAGCTGTTGTCCTTGAACTGACTTGGTAACTTGGTTGCTGGAGATAAACAGGATCTTACACATGAACTATTTCAACATCCTAATTCTGAAGCTGAGCTAGCTAGAGTCCAGGTCTCACTGCTACTACCTGGGCCTGGACGTCATCACCCCAGCCCAGTCCTGGTTGGAAGGACTGAACCGTTGTCAGGCCAATGACTGGACAAAAACCATGGCATAAAAATGGAGTAAATGCAGAGAAGAGAAAGCCTACATGAAGAAATAAAAAAGGGTAAATAAGAAAAATACTAAAGAGTAGGGAAAACTCAAAAGAGAAATTTAAATTGTATAAGGATATGAAAGGTTATTGGTGGAAGATAGCTAGTAACCCATTTCCAAATTGTGGTAAGAACACAGTCAGAGGAAGTAGACTTTAACTGAGATGGGATGGATTTAACTTGAATTTTAAGAATGCCCTGTCTGACAGTCTGGTGGTAGACCACAGAAATTCATAAAATCTCCCCCTGCATAGACCAGGTCAGGGATCCAAGTACTACCAGGATTCCCAGTGGCTTGGATCATCGATGGCCAAGAAGGTTTGTAGTCTCCAGATGTCTTCTGGCCACTAGCACATCCTCCAGCCTGTGTCTGTACACAGCAGACAGACACAAATCAGGACAGAGACAGTCACAGGCCAATGTGCCCTGGACAGTTCCACACTCGCCACAAAGTCATCCGTCTTCTGAGTGTTCTCTCAAGCAAACTGCCACCTTCAGGTTGCCCTCCACAGACTTGCCTTCTCATTACCAGAGGCTTCCCAACTTCCAGACCCCCCCTTCCCCACTTCAGACTGTGTCTAGCCAAAGCCCAGGCTGCCTTGAGAAATGGCAGGCTCCCCCGCCCTAACATCCCAGAGCAGTCTGACATTCATGTCTCCAAGATGGTTCTGTCAAGATTTCACATGTCATGGCCCAAGAAGAGAACGTCAGAGCTTTGGGATTTGATGTCCATTGCAAAGTAATGAGATCTGCACTGCAAAGAAATAAAAAGTATGAGGGTCAAAATAAACTTTTTTAAAATTTCATTTAACTTGGTCTTAGTGTCACAAGAAGCACACTTTTTTAGAAATCATAGAAACCTGTGTAGGTAACATTTAATAAACATAATTAAGTGATGGAAACTTGATATATATACTTTACAGTACCATCCAGTAGAACTTTCTGCAATGATAGAAAGTTCTAGATCTGTGATCTCCCAGTAGGAGTAGTCCATAGTCATACCAAGCTACTAGGCTACTAAGCGCTCGAAATGTGGCTGGTGCAACTGAAGAGCTGAATTTTTAGGTTTATTCAATGTTCAATTCAATTTAAATAGCCACATGTGGCTGGTGTGACTAATGTATTGGGCAGTACAACTTTAGAGTAACCTAAGTTTAAAAACTGGTGAAGATAGGTAAATATCCTATCTACATGCTCACTCCCTTTTTCCCAGCACACTAACACGAAGATGTGATTTCCTAGGTCTCACTCAGCCTTTTCCCAAAGGATGGCTTCCTGCCCTGCCCAATGCTGGGTTTGTGCTCTGCTTCCACATTGTAAGAATTAAGGAAAGAGGAAAGAAACATAAAAAGCAGCTCAACCGTCAAAGACAGGTTTATTTTGGAGAATAAATCTGAGAGGGGCTTCTGGCTGAGTTAGGTCAGAGGCATTCTTTCTTAGACTAAGAGTATTTAAGGGTTTAGGGAAAGAGAGCTTATCACAGCTTTGGAATGTTTCTGTGTCTTTTTGTCTTGCTGGGGTAGGGGGGCAGAGTTGTGTGTCTGTTCCATATATCTTCCTGTAGCTGCAATAGAGACCTTTAGTAGACACAGGATTTCACCATGTTGGCCAGGATGGTCTCAATCTCCTGACCTTGTGATCCACCCGCCTCGGCTTTCCAAAGTGCCGGGATTACAGGTGTGAGCCATCACGCCCGGCCTAACTTCCCTATATTAGTGCACCTAAAAGGAAAGGAATGTGCTTGTTAGGGCGCATTGTTTTACTGGGGCCCATTGTATGAGTGTGAAGTTTGGTGGTTATCCAAGAGACTTTCCCCCACCCTCTGGGCCTGAACTGTCTTATCTGTTTTTGACTGTCTGCTCTTTGTGGCTGCTTGTTGTTAGCAGAGAAGTGATTTTCTTGGAACGCATGAGGTGAGAAAGGGAGTTGGAACTGAAAGTGACGGTGTTTGTCCAAGATGATGGTGCTCCTGCTCTGTCACACATGGGGCTTTGAGCTTTGTCTGAAATCTTGGCTGGTGTCAGCCAGCCCTGCCTGTCAGCCAAAGATGCCCACAGTTTGCATTCCCCGTGGATCAGAGGACCCTTTGTCTGTCACTGCAAAGTCCCCCAGAGCCAACCTGCCATAGCTCAGCACATGCTGGTATTTAATCACAGCCTGCTGCTTTGTGTGTGAGTGGGTGTGGAGAGAGGGTATAGATGTGCTTAGATACAGTCACACACATATTCTGTGTGTTTTATACAAATGGTAACATGCCATATATACCTTTCTACCTTCTTGCTCTTTTTGCTTAATTCTGTAACTTGAATATTGTTCAATATCAGCACATACAGAGGGGCCTCGTGTTGTATTCTCTCCATACCACGGCACTTTATAGACGTACCGTCATTTATTTAATCAGTCCACTGTGACAGATATTTAGATTATTTTCACCCTTTTGCTATTCCGTCTTCACTGTAATAAGTGCCCTTACATAGTCTTCATGGGTGTGTACCAAAAAAAACTACATAGGATTAATTCCTAGAAGGGAAATCACTGGGCCAAGTTACCTGTGAGTCTTTCACTTGGGTAACTATTGACAGACTGTCCTCTAAAGAGGCACTGGTCACACCAACTCAGTAGGAGAGGGCATGGTACCTTGTCATCCACAGAGCAGGTCAGCAAAATTTGTGAACCTGTCTGCCATCCACACCGAAAACCCAAAGTCCTCCTGGAAGGTTACAACTCCCACTTTAACTGACGCAGAAAGGAAGCATGACAGCCCTGTGGGAGGAGATGGGAGGAAGGCAGAGTGGGGTGGATGGGTGGAGGGGCTGGCAGAAGGAGCGGGAGACTCCTCAGAGCTCTGCTAGGGCCTCAGCTGTCCTGGGCCATTATGTGACAATTAGCTCCTCTTGAGCACATTCTGAAGTGGAGGGGACAATAATTAATGCCATTAACCCTCATTAAGGGAGCATTCTGTGGATGGAGTATGATTAAAGTGGAATTTGAGCTCTCAGGTGGCTCTACATTTAGGAATAAGTAGGTCCCGGTGCAAAACCATTGCCGATGTCAGGGCGTGGCTGAATAGATGCTCCTGAGACCAAGACTCTCAGGGCTTCACCAAACACCTGCGTTCAGAGATGGCCAATTGAAGACCCCCTGATGCTAAAGAATCCGTTTCAGACCCTTTTTAAACACATATCCACATTTAACACAAAGGCCGTAATTGTGGTAGGTGGTCACGGTGCTGTCTCACAGGACTGACACGACTTTTAGCCACTAATGATACCATGGGACCCAAGCCACTGACATAAGCGGCTTCACCTGTCCTTGAAAGTTTTAAGACTTTAACTGAAGAGAGGCACTGATGATGCAAACAGAAACCAAGGAGACAGGAAAAGACGGTGGCTGCAAACCAAGCTGGCTGCCACCCAAATAACAGGATGTGGGAGGCCAAAAGGACCTTGGCCCAAAACGTGTGTCTGAAAGCATCTGAAACTTCCACCACGAGCGCCATCCATTCGCTAATGCAGGTCCCCTCACAAGTCTGCTCCATTTGAACGCACAGCCGCAGCACTGCACTAGTTTTTTGGCTCACACTCCAATTCTTTCACCGAGCACCCTGTGTGTGCTGTGCACAGCACTAGGGGCTGAGGATGCAGGAGTGAGCTGCCTTGCAGACTAAGGGGGAAGGACACATTAATAAAATGGCCATACAAATAAATGTGCAAGGCCAGATAGATCCATGCGATGAGCATGAAGAGCAGGAAACCCTTGCTAGGCTGAGGGATCGGGCTGAGCAGTGCCTGGCTACATCCCTGCAAGAACCCGTTTTTGAGGGAGAGTCTGAGTCTATGATGAAGTGGCAGGTCTCTGACTCTTTAGCTCTTCTTAACAGCTGCACCTAGTGCCTACATAATCACCCAAGATGGTGTATTCAAGGTTCCTGGCACAGAGGGTGCAATCAGTAAGTGTTTATTGCTTTATAGATATTCAGTGAGTTTCCCACGTTGAGATTTCGGGACATGGCTGGAAACCAACTCAGGAGTGCAAGGAAGGTTCTGGCCTCTCCACTGCATACTGGTTTTGTTGTCAGATGGCTGTCACAGTTCTCAAGGCCACTAACCCAGTTCCTCAACATGGCAAACAAACACAGTACCTTTTTTTGGTCAAGAGATTAAGCATCCTAGAAATATAGTCCCTTCAGTCACCTCTAGCGGTTTAGAGCAAGGTTCTGACTGACCCAGAGTCAGGCTTCATCCCAGCTGCCCCCTGAGCAGAGCTTGTCTAAGTCCCAGCTCAGCA